AAATGCGATACCACACCAAACTTTTTGTGACCAACACACCATCTGTCATTTCTCAACACTAGGTATAGTATGGTCCCTTTTTGTAGATGCCACCAGATTCGCTCTTAAGTTTCTTTATAACCACGGTCTTCTTGTCTCTTCCATATGTCCCACAATGGACGGAACCGAAAGTGCCACTACCGAGCTCTACTACAATTTTAAGTAATTTCCAATCAAATGGAGGCAGACCATGATCTATTCGCCTTCGCTTTATTAGCGATGGCATTTTAAAGCTTCCATGCACTCCAGACATCCTGAATGTCAGCAGGAAAAAGCGACTGGCAAACGTGTTACCGCTATTATATTTGACAATTACAATCAAAGCAATGAAATATTATATTACATGCAAGTGCCAACAAAAAATGGCGACAATGCATACCGAAACTCTTTAATTTAGCGCAATCATGGCTATTACACATTCGCTTTAGTTTATATCCTGCGTGAAGTTTACATTAAATGCCCATTTAAAAGTATCAAACTGGGGGTTTTTTCACGACTTCGTGTCCTGCAATTTTGGTGTGACGTCAAACTTTCGATTAAGCTTCATTTTCTTTTATTGCATAAATTGTAAATTGAATAAAATTTTTATTTAAATTTTTATAAAATTTTTATCGGATTCCCCGATTCCTGGATTCCCCGTTCCCTGTTTTAAAGATAGCTGTTTCAACTTCTCAAGTTTCCTAAAACGGGTTTGCACTCCAATTCCTTCAACCTTTCCTTGACTTCTGCAATTGAGAGACTTTCAACATCTAAAGTGTCGTCTGAATTGCCTTGTTGCGATGTAGGACAGGGAAAATCTAACAATTTCCTGTGCCGTTTGCTTCATGCTTCCTTAATATCATGAGACCAATAACCAACATTCCTTTTGTGGCAGGTTCTTGTTGTTTGTTCTTGTTCACTTGTCACCTGTAACCGTTTGCCCACAAGTAGGACGTCTTTAGGTGCATCCCACTTGTTTGATTTGGTCAAATGGAATTTCCGTACATCATTCTTCTTCTCGACCCCTATAAATTCAGTGAAGAGGTATGCTGATTATATACAGTACTTGTTCAAGATTAGTTACTAATAAACTATTTAAGCAAATATGGAAAATATTACCTTGTCCTGTGAATTTCTTTACACCACCGTGTTTCTTCATAAAGTTTGGCACACGATAAACCAAGCAATGCATGTATGGTGTAACTTGTTTCTTCCCACATCCTTCTACTTTAGCACCAAGAGACACAAATAGCTTAACCCAACCCAGGCAGAAGCCTATAGTTCAAATTAGCAGAAATGTATAGAAGGCTTTTGGGATGATTACAGTACACATATTTGACATTTTGTTGGTACAAAATATAATGGCAATTTTAAAATCCAATTTCTTATTGCGCTAGCACTTATTAAAGGTTGACCAATGGGGGAGCACAGAAATCCAGGACCATAAGAGTAGAGTACTTTATCAAACCTGTTTGAATAGTTCATCGATATGTGCAGCTGAAGGATTAGGCTCATTCACCATTTGATAAATGTGACTGAAATCCTAAATATAAAATGCAGGTTTTATCTAGCTATAATTTTGTCTCTTTAGCGAAACAGAAAATTTAGCTTATTTAAAATAGTGAGAATACCTTCCAAATATTAATTATAGCAGTGTTGGCACAATGCAATCCTTTAACTTTTCTGGGAGATGTTTCAATAGTAGCTTCTTGTCTGAGCCCATCATGCTGGTAAAGTCGTATATGCCACTGCCTTTCACATCTGCATTCTTTTTCTCCCAGACATTAAATGAGACTCCGCATTGATTTACCGAGTTAGCAAGGTCCATTAGGTGACGGTTTGACCTATCCTTGGGAGCTCTGGGTAAGTTGTCCTTTATGTCCCATTCAAGGGCTTGGCCAATTAAGCTTTTTGTCACCACGTCTAAAACCGTAAACATAATATATTATAAACATAATATATTATAAAAGATTTGGTTTTGTTGATATGCAATTATCAAAACTTTTGACAAAGTGTGCAACGGATAACCAGAGCTAATTACATATTAATTGTTCAAAGTATAACAACTGTAAATAAATTTTACTAGACATCTTTTATTATTTAGTTGCATACTTCTTTCTGTACCTGTGATTCGGAGCATTAAATGTAGTTCATCAATAACAACATTTTCCAACTTTATATCAAGCAGGGGTTGGAATTGACAAGAAAATTGACCTTTTAATGCACATTCTTTGATGTCCTCAATTGATCGACCGTGTCGAGTTTCCCAGTAGTCTAGATGGCTTAACATATCACATCTAAAAAAGTAAAAATATGTTAAATGATATTAATGAGATTTTACTTGCATGGGTAGGATTACATCGCTTGAGACTGGTTTCTAAATATAGCCACCATGGTGAGTGGCTTTGTCATGAACCAAATGATGCTGTGTGAGCAAAGCCTGGTTCGATGTAATTGTATCAATCAAGAACTTAATCTGCAAGAATGCTTAATTCTTTTATGTCTACTACAGCAATGTCGCCATTTGCCAACAAATCATTCTTGTGTACTGAAATTTGCAGGAATTACCTTGTAATCACCTCCCAGATAAAATTCAACAGACACATCCTTTCCTTTAATGTTGATTTTTCCTGCTCTTACCAATCTGTTGATGCAGCTAAAAATCTTTGAACACCAAGCCTTCAAAAGGTTGTAATCTTCATCACCTTTGATTACTGCAACTGTGTGGTTCCCTTTTGTGTGTAATGAAGAAAAAAATAAGATTTGTTATTTTCACTCAAATTTATGCATCAATTTAGTATGTCATCAAGTCAGATAATTTATTATTTGACCTGTAATTTTAAAAGATTTACCTTTTGAAGACATAACAGTTTCTTCCAGATTAAGAACAGATAAGCTGATCACAATGAAATTTGTCAACCTTGTCATCTTTGCACCATCTCCACTGACTTTCACTTTGACTGGACCTTCACCTAATTTGCTGTCAGTCTCCATCTAAAGTTGAATAAAGAATTTAAAATATTGAAAATTAATAATTTCTAACTTTAGTGATGAGCAATGATTACCAATAGTCTAGGACCTGTATATGAGTTTGTATGCATTTCATTTAGGACAGATAATCTCAACTGTTTTAGGGTAAGTTGACCATGACGGTCAACATGGTAACGCTGCCCGAACACCAATCCGGGGCGAAACGTCCGAAACTGACCACACCCAAAAATGACGCTTTCGCCATACTGCTATCTACCAAACCATAAAAGCTTTGGCTATTCTGAGGTGCTTATATGGTTCAGAGATGGTACTTTTGGGGGTGGTCATTGGTAAGTGTGAAATGCCAAGCACTAATATTTCACAAGAAAATGACCATGCAATAATCATAGTTAAACGTCAATTTGTGGCTTGCAAATTCAGATAAACAGCAGTGGACTTACATTACCTTTTTCCCTAAATCTTTTTGATAGAAACATAATTGGTACTTATTTAAATATATTATCACTGATTTGGTGTAAAATAGTTAATATTTTCTGACCGAAATAATAATTTGAAATGTGCCTACTCCGCTGTTTATCGGCGATCTCGTCGACATCCTACAAAAAATGTAAATCATCTCAGACATAATGGTATCAAGAACATTTTAAACAAGTTTCAACTTGGTTTCAAGTAGATCATACCTGTTTAACTATCGACAAGGTAAATCCACAACTTTGTCCAAATTCGGCGCCATTTTGTCATCCCATGTCGCTTGTTAACAATTCAGCCTTGTTACTCTTCCATCCAGGCCATTTCCATTCCACTAATAATAAATTTAACCCTTTATAACGGTAGGAAACTAAAAAATCTAAACAAAATATAAGAAATACGCCATTTTATCACCATGTAAAATTTTGCTCACGAGTCTTTCAAAACATTCCGCACAAATATCACGTGACAAAGTAACAGGGACGTGACAGGAGGGGGTGAATTATTTCACGAAGATAGAAGAAGGCTGCGTGAAATAGACTAAAAGCTAAATACAATTATACAAATGTTTGTTTTATTTCTTGTAGCGACAAATATATACATATTATTATTTATTAATATGAAAAAGTCATACAAATTAAATGTTGATTGTTGGTTTTACCATACTGTGTGGGCTTCCTTTCATTTTTCAAGTCTCTACCCCCCCTGTCACGTCCCTGTTGCTAAACCACGCGAGATTTGTACGGAATGTTTTGAAAGACTCGTGAGCAAAATTTTACATGGTGATAAAATGGCGTATTTCTTATATTTTGTTTAGATTTTTAGTTTCCTCCTGTTATAAAGGGTTAAATTTATTATTAGTGGAATGGAAATGGCTTGGATGGAAGAGTAACAAGGCTGAATTGTTAACAAGCGACATGGGATGACAAAATGGCGCCGAATTTGGACAAAGTTGTGGATTTACCTTGTCGATGGTTAAACAGGTATGATCTACTTGAAACCAAGTTGAAACTTGTTTAAAATGTTCTTGATACCATTATGTCTGAGATGATTTACATTTTTTGTAGGATGTCGACGAGATCGCCGATAAACAGCGGAGTAAAGTGGAGAACTTGGCCAAATACGTCCATTTGTAGGAGGTAGGCACATTTCAAATTATTATTTCGGTCAGAAAATATTAACTATTTTACACCAAACCAGTGATAATATATTTAAATAAGTACCATTTATGTTTCTATCAAAAAGATTTAGGGAAAAAGGTAATGTAAGTCCACTGCTGTTTATCTGAAGTTGCAAGCCACAAATTGACGTTTAACTATGATTATTGCATGGTCATTTTCTTGTGAAATATTAGTGCTAGGCATTTCACACTTACCAATGACCACCCCCAAAAGTACCATCTCTGAACCATATAAGCACCTCAGAATAGCCAAAGCTTTTATGGTTTGGTAGATAGCAGTATGGCGAAAGCGTCGATTTTGGGTGTGGTCAGTTTCGGACGTTTCGCCCCGGATTGGTGTTCGGGCAGCGTTACCATGTTGACCGTCATGGTCAACTTACCCTAAAACAGTTGAGATTATCTGTCCTAAATGAAATGCATACAAACTCATATACAGGTCCTAGACTACAAACTCTAAATTTCTAATTGCAGTAGGTTTTTACCCAGCCTGGGACACCACAGCATACACCATCCCTGACAGGTACATAATAGTTTATTTAAATCTTAATGATTAAAGAATGACCAAAATAGGATTCTTACCAGATTTCCAATTACATGACTCAACTCATCTTCAAAATTGAGTGCTGCCCCATTTGCTTCTCCAGGAATTCGTTCAATATAGAAAAGCTTGTTGAGATTATCTTTGCATTGCTTCACCAGGTAGGACCTTGGAAGTGTCTCTCCTCCTGGACAACAAGTTAGTTCATGGTATGCAGCTTCACCAATGCAAAATTTGTCCATTATATATAAAACTTGCTGGATGTCTTGCTTTTCGTCAGTTGCGAGTTCAGTATAATTCTTCAATCCCTTTTCTTCAAAAGATAAACAATGAGCTTTTCCAGAGTCGTCAATCATTTTCACACTGTTCAACTTAAGTCCAAACGATTCACTAAACCAAAGTGCTTGCTTGACCCTTGTTGCCAGTGTTTGAAGTTTTCGATCTTGCTGTCGCTTTCCTACTTCCAAAAACGATTTCCCTTTGTACTCAAACTTTCTTTGGGGAGAAATTTTTTCAATTATATTGTATAATTTGTCATTCTCCCTTTTAAGCTTGTTAATGTCAATAGTGGCCTTGTCAATTTTTATTTGGCTTTGACTCACCAGTGCTGATGCTTCCTTACATTTGATGTCTAATGCCTTATTATCACGAGTAATTGTCGCATTTACACTTTCAAGCTGCAAAACTTGGCTTTGCAAATCGTTTACCAAGGCAACCGTACTAAGTTCACTGTGACGAATAGCAACACTCTTCACCTTGGCAAGTAGACTTTGCCGAGCTCCTCCATGTTTCCCGATAGCTTGCTTAGACACTTTCGTGCAATGTATACGAAGGCATTCATTGACTCTTGAACAGCTCTCCTGAATCTTTAGTGAATACTGTTTGTCAATAAATGCATTCAGTATTTGTACGTACGTGCAGTCAGCCAATGTTGTGTGCTTTGCATTGTGCCAACTGTTTAGTTGTTCAAACGGAATGTGAAGCGTAAAGCAACTTTGTTCAGGATCAACATCGTATCTTTTAACCAAGTTTGGGCAATGCTCACTATCAACAACTATTTTCCTTTTAAATTTTGTATTAGAATACGTATCCAGAGCGTTTGCCATAAATTTGCATGTCATAGAAGGAAACAGAACAATTCTAATTTCCCGCTACATTGCGCGATAAGCGTTCGTGGTTGTTAGTTACCATAGTGACACAGAATGTAAATAGGTAAAGGGAGTATGTGCTGAGCAGTAACACCGCCATCTCTAGAATTGTATTGCGAAAGAAAGCTCTGTTTCTAAGCTATAATTTGATGTATTGCTCGACGAATTCCGACAAATATAACACTGAAAACTTTGCGTTCAAAGACAACGCATTCGAGTTTCACATTTCAAACTTACAGTAAACCGGATTTTGCATGAAGTTTTTATGCTCCTATCAATGTTAACCCCGAGGGGGGGGGGCAAAGGGGGGGGATTTGATCAATCAGGTGGTCCCATGGGTCAGGATTTGGACTGAGACTTTTTTCTAAGTGGCCCGAGGGTGGGGATTTTTGACAGATTAACACTGATCTCAGATGAGATACTGAAGAAACCCGAGCCAATTTTTTAACAAACCGAAGACTGGGCACTAGTTCGTTGCTCGCTGTCTTGCGCGTTGTTTTTACAAGAAATATGTAGATTTTTGGACAAGAAATAAACACAGATAAGCCATTTTATAATTATATTAATATCGATTTATACTTATATGTTAAAAGTTCACATTATGTACTATTTAAAACACGAGTAGGAGTGTTTTATCAAATAAAATAAATATGTCTGATAAAACACCCCTACTCGTGTTTTAAGTAGCTTAAAATACGACTACAAAAGAATATTAATTAGGGCAAACAATTATATAAGAATACTGATTAGGATGAACAATTATATAATGTCACATGCAGGCATGTGTTTTATTAGCCTGTGTCCCAGTCCACTACACCGTGGTGTAGCTTCACGTGACATAATATGGTTGACATGATTTGCCGCAAGGTATATGAATTATTAATGAGTATTTTAAGTTATTTTGAAACGTTCTTTATATTTGTTATACTTTTAAATTATACTGCCAAATGTATTTGTGTAATTTCCCTATCACCTGACATATAGAGTGCACCAGAAACCAAATACTGCAGGAATACAATTTTCTTCCCGGGGGTGGGGAATTTTGCCCAGGAATTTTCTCCCGAGGGAGTGGCATTTGACATTTTTATTTGTAAAAATGTCAAATCCCCACCCCTTGCCCGACCCCCCACCCTCGGGGTTAACATTGATAGGTGCATTATTTCACACTTCGATTTTACTTCCACATATTTTTGGTTGGGTGAGTTGGTGTTAGGTAGTTGCCCCTTTGTGCCTATCTTTCTGTGATCTTGCTTTATTCTTTGCTTTTTCAAAATCTGTTTCACTAAGAGGTATGGTTGTATGGTGATTGCTGATACTGTCCAATTTTGGGATTAATTAAATGTTGGTGTTTCCGGATTTTTTGCCAGTTTTCTTTAGCTTTGTGAAAACTCTTTTCTTTCCGATGTAGCGTTGGAGTTAACTTATATATAACCTTCATCATGTTTTGTTTTCTTTTGATATTTTCTTTTCTTTTGTGGCAGCAAATGGATATGTAAATGGTCAGGATAATTTCTCTCGCGTCTTCTGATTCTATCATAATTTTCATGAACAAAAACATAGGCTTTCAACCTTTCCAGCTTTCCAAGTAAAATGCCAGCCATATTATTGCTTTTCAGCAATATACTTATTGATGAATTAAAAGAATGGGTGGGCAATAACTTCTATTTGTCTTTTCATGGTCATATGCCAGCATTGAATCTTGCACAACACGTTCCTTGATATCTTGTAAGTTCTCGAAATATTTGATAAATGGATTGCAAAATGAAGATTTACCAGCAAATGAGTCTTTGAGTTTTTCCAGTCAGTCAGCACCTACCTTTTTCTTCGGGAAGTCTGTTATAAGTTTATTGACATCAAGTTTATCCATATTCTTACTTCCCCCATGTACTCACTGCAGGGGTGGAAAAAAAAATTTATGTTCTGGGACCACAACGAAAAGTGGGAAAATTTTCTGTGAGTCGATGCAAATCCTGTATAATTTAAATTAATTAAAGGGTCACTTGCAAAGAGGGCTAATAAGATTTAAGAATTATTAAAACCATACTACCATACAAAAGCAGTGCCAGTCGTAGAAGATTTTCTTTCTTAATGCAACTGAGGAAAGGATTTCATTGAAATAAACAAGTGAGGAAAGACTGAATTTGTGTGCTTGCCAAAGTGGTTTTAAATTGGGTTTTTTTTTTTTAATTTTATTTGATTTTGCCCAATAATATTTATTTATTTACATGAAAACACTAATATTAAGGAAGAAGAGGGCTAGGAGTCTATATGAAACCATTTGGCTTTTTTGCTTAGACCCCTAGAAATATATTTACAATTTATTTAATTAATTAAGTAAACCCAGTTCAGAGTCAAATTATTAGTGTAGTGAATTTTGCAAATATATACAGTATTAATTATTAATATAGTACAGTATTAAGAATATTTGCATCATGCCATCATAATTAATAGTCTGAAAGCAAACATGATTTGGAAGTTGGAGAAAAGGTATTGTAAGTTCTATGTTTTTGTATGTCCGTTATGGAAATTTTTGCACCTTTATGGTGGCCGAGCGTTGCCACTCGTTTTTTTTGTACATTTTACATTATTTTAAAGATTTTTTTACTTTTTATTTTTTTAATTAAAATGAAATACAAAATAAATTAAAATGAAATACAAAATAATTTACAATTAAAATTAAAGTAAAAGTGAATTTCACCATGGCCGAGGGCTGCCACTACCAAAATATTCTTTATAATTTTTTTTTAATTAAAGTGAAAAATAAAAATAAATTAAAATGAAAAATAAAAATAAATTAAAATGAAAAATAAAAGTAAATTAAAATGAAATACAAAATACTGATTTACAATTAAAATTACAAAGTAAAAGTGAATTTCACCATGGCCGAGGGCTGCCACTACCATAATGCACAGCGACCCGAGAGAAATTCCCATGAGCCGAGCAGTGACCGAGCAGTGGCCGAGCGCTATCATAACATCCCATGAACCTTTGCCCGCGCGGAAGGCAACATGGCGGAGAAATGGCGAAAGTTCAAAGAAGATATGAAAAAAAAACGCTTGAGTGGGAAGAGCCAAAAAGGGAAAGATGTTTCCAAACGTGAAATAACTGTTCAAATGTTAAGCGCGGACGTGTCGGGCAAGGCCCAAAAGTATTCACGTATCGGCCCAAGGGAATTTGTCCAGTTATATGACGACGACGATGAAGATCTAGATCGATTTTATACAAAAGAAGAGATGACAATTGAACAAGTGAAGGATGCATGCCTGAAACATTTTGAACTGAAGGTTGGAAACAATGTTGTATGTGATATTCTTGCCGGTGAGCAAGGACCTTCCTGCGCATCCTTGAAGCAAATACCTAATATGAATCTTATATAGGTCAGATTCATAAACAAAAGCTCGACAGCAGATGCGCCTGTATTCGTTGATGATACTGACCCAGTTCATCCGCAAAGCACAACTGTGAAACGAAAGGGCCCTAACTCTGTTCCAAGTCCAAAAAAAGCTAAAATCTCAACACCAATGCCCAAGAGTCTTTCGGTAACCCATATGTTGAAACTAAGTAAACTTATAAACAAGTCTACCACTACCATCCACTTGTATAGATTTAATTTGGCAGATATGAGCTGGTCGTCTTCACCAAGGGCAGTTGAATTTAGTGTTTCAGAAGATGTGCTCGGAGAAGCTGCATTCCGAAAAGCTTATAAAGCAGAATCAAAAGATGAGAGCTTTGCTGGTTCATGGGTAGTCAAAGAATATAATGAAAATGCATTGGATGTCATTGCTGAGACCAATCAAACTCTCGAAACCCATACAAAGAAGGTTGTACAAATGCACAGCTTAGCCCAGAACTTTGCAAGCCAACTGAAGACAAGTGTTGAGCAAAATGGCATGCAAGAATCTTTTGGTGATTGTTTTCATTATGGGAGTGTCTACTTAGGAAAAAAAGGTGACGAATTTGTCACAGTTGAAGAGTTTGTAGATGGAGAGTTTAGTAAGTATATAAACAATGATGGCACATTGTGCAAGAATGTCAACGAAGTTATATTACAGAAAGCAGAGTGTCTTTCTCATTTTTCTTTTGAAAAATCCAACAATCAGGTAATGGTGTTAGATATCCAAGGATGTGGCTACTCCCTTGTAGACCCAGAAGTTGCATCATCTTCCCTCTTTGATGAAAATAAAGAATTACTTTTTACCACAGGGAATTTGTCATTTGAAGCAATTGCAAAATTTAAACTCATTCATAGATGTAATGAGTACTGTGAGCTTCTGAAGCTTAAAGTACTTGTATAGAAAGAATACACAAACTGCTGTTAGGGGAAAGTAATGATGTATCTTTAAAACATTGTTGTTATTTCAGTTTGGTGTATAACAAGGACACCTAAAACTTGATATTATCGACATTATCTGTTAGTTACTCTTAGAAAATTCATTGTCTTTTAAGAACATATCAGACTTTAAATCGCATCCCTAGTAATGTGGTAGCAAAGAGTGACTGGGCAAGCATCTGTTTAACACCAGGTTATAATAAAAAACTTTTATGAACACATTGGGCAATTTAATTCAAGTCTTAAATTAACAGTTGGAAGACATAGTAGGTGCAATGTCTTTTACCACTTTTGGTGACTAGTGTTTGCAATAAAGATTGATCACCATTTATGTTTTTGCTTGCTACACTGGTTTAAATAAATGATTACAAAGCCTATTTGAATTGTAATCAAACCCCAATGTTTCGACACTCCAGTCTAGTGTCTTCATCAGGGGTGATCTAAAATTGCAATGTAGCTTCTTACATACCCAAAG